CACTTGCTCCAGCGGGCAGTGGCGGTTACTTGCTGGATTCACTTGCAGCGCATTTGCTGTGGGGTCACGTGCGGTCACTTGCTCCAGCGGGCAGTGGCGGTTACTTGTTGGAGTCACTTGCGGCGCACTTGCGGTGGGGTCACGTGCAGTCACTTGCTCCAGCGGGCAGTGGCGGTTACTTGCTGGAGTCACTTGCAGCGCATTTGCGGTGGGGTCACGTCACGTGTGGTCACTTGCTCCAGCGGGCAGTAGCGGTTACTTGCTGGAGTCACTGGCGGCGCACTTGCGGTGGGGTCACGTGCGGTCACTTGCTCCAGCGGGCAGTGGCGGTTACTTGCTGGATTCACTTGCATTTGCGGTGGGGTCACGTCCGGTCACTTGCTCCAGCGGGCAGCGGCGGTTGCTTGCTGGAGTCATTTGCGGCCACTTGCGGCGCACTTGCGGTGGGGTCACGTGCGGTCACTTGCTCCAGCGGGCAGTGGCGGTTACTTCTGGATTCACTTGCAGCGCATTTGCGGTGGGGTCACGAGCGGTCACTTGCTCCAGCGTGCAAAGGCGGTCGCTTGCGGCAGGTTGCAGCACTGATGTTGGAGAGCAAGCCGTTGCAACCTTCTTGATTTTTAGCCTCTTCTATCTGCACATTACTTGTGAGAGCTGTCTGCAATTCTGCAATTTGGCGAGCTCGGCACATTAAGCAAAATGGAATTCATGGGATTTCTGGCGCAGTAACCAAACTTTCAAGTGCTCAACGAGACTTGCAAGGCCAACCTTCACGTACTTTGACTGACAAGCTTTTGCGTCGCTGCATTTCCCGCAATACATCGTTCAGCCGTCGCGCCTATCACGTCCAACGCAATGATCGTGTCTACATGCACCCACTCCGAACATAAAACAAAGGCTGTGACAAGGAATAACATTTGCAAATCAAAACGCAAAATCAATTCGCGGCACAGCATAGCCATACTTGAAGCCGCACTTCTACGGATTTTTTATTCGTCACAACGCCCGTTTCCTGTGGAATCGTGTTGCGACGCAAGAACATTACGGTGAACCCTTGTGATCATTCCCCTGGTATGTCGTTTGAATGTTGTCAGTGCAGTTGAATTTTTTTGGGCGCTGCCCTGCACCCCCTTAAAAGATCGAAAGTGTTGTTTACACCCAATCTGGCAAAAAGAAATCCTTGATCAACAAATCGAATTCTTGAAGCAAACACACAAAAAGCACGACTCTTGCAAACAATGCTAATGTCTGCTCACTTCAGCATCCCGAAAAGATATGTAAAATAAAAATACAAATATTTAAAAAAACGAACAAACTTCCTCGATCCTGAACACATGGTTACGCAATGGCATTGCTCTGCTGCGAACAGTGTTTGACAAGCGCCGCAACGGCAAAAAAGCATTCAAACATGCTGGCTTTCGCAAGTCAGTAAAAACATCTTCTTTTTGGCTACCATCACGCAACCCTCATGAACCCGCAGCAGGCCATCTGCCACAACGACTCTTCAGAGTCAGGGCAGCCAGGCGCCAAAAAGGGTCACACAGTATGGATTCCGCTTTTCATCATGTCACATGCCGCGTGACTGCAACCAAAATGTTGACATCGATACAATCAACCATCCATCACTGAGAGTGACCCCCAGCGCAAGCAGAAGTGCAGGACAAAGCCCCAAGCTCTGTTATATCGGTCTGAACGCCCTTGCTAACAACAAAGATGATATCGTTATCCGGCAAACTTTTCTCAACTGCATCTGTCTTTTCATTGACCATAGTCTCCAACAAGAATCGATCACAAACTGCCACAGCCGGCAAATCATCCTCATTCACATGAATTGCCACCAAATCCTGGCAAAAGAACACGCTTGCTTACATGTTCATTCATATCTCAAAGCAAAGCAAAGCTTTAATTGAATGGCACACCACTAAAGCAACAATGCCTTCTCTGCCGGTTTTTCGTCGTGATCTGGAGCTTCAGGCACGTGAGCTTCAACAAGACTTTCCTCCAATGCGCTCACCGAATAGCGCCACTTGCAAAGCTCAAAAGTACAAAAACATAGCAGCCATAACAAAAATCAATCCATAGGTCAAAGCCTCCCTCCCCGCAACCCCAACCTGCTCCTCCAAATCAGCTTTAATCTGCTCATCTGCTTCAGGACACGTCATATAGCCTCGTTGATAATCAAAATCCAAGTCCCTGTGATTGGCTCCGCCGCAAGAAGCTTCTCCAATAGTCACAGCCGCAGCATAACTTGTAAAGCGGTGCCAAGCAAGAGAATGTGCCTGCCGCTTGCCATGACACAGAACATATTTGCATACTCAAAGACCTAAAAACATACATATGTATATATAGACCGCATTTTACATACCATTTATATATATAAACATACATCTGCATATGCTACAAATATATATATATAAATATAATACATACATACATACATACATACATACATACATACATACATACATACATACATACATACGTTAAAAAGTATATATATATATATATACCCATGTTGTTGGATCCAAAACCAAGCTCTCATGATGGCCTGCCTTCTTAGGATTCTCCTTCTGAAACTGGCACTTCCAGACGGGCAGCCATTGAGATGGAGCTTTTCGCGCTTTCCGCATGTTGCAACACTCGCGAAAAGCAATCAGTAACAAAGCTTGTCTGATAACATGTCGCAAGATGGCGAGCTGTCCCTTTGGCAAACTGCAACACTAAACCATGCGTCATTCATGATCTGAGCCGGCAAACTCATCGACGGCCCAGTGCAGCCAATGCAGATTTCAAACTCGAAACACCAGAAATACAACAGAGCAACGACCTTGTGCGCATCAAAAAAATTAAATCGGCCCAGCATCCAGCCAAGCCCGGGGATACAAAGCATCCAGACAGGCTATGGGAAACAAGTGGAAGACAAGTGAGCTTACTGGGAGCCAAGTCGAGACATGTGGGAGACAAGTGTGAAATCATGCGGCCAGAGCACTCAGAGCATCC